CAGAGGGCTATAAGTATTTCTTATCCCTTACCCCCTCCACTGAGGAAAACCATCCTCATTTGAAATCATATACCATCCTAGGAAAAAAAAACACTGTTTAACTGTTATTGGGTCCCACAAAACCCACAATGCTCACTTGCCTTCAAAATGCACTACCGATTTGTTCTGAACAACATATTTGAAGTAGCAACCATGGTCCCCTTGAACAATTAAACAGGTGTGCACTCTCACACAGTGCAGCAATGCAGTAATCCGTACATATCATTTGTCTGTCATTGTCCTTTGAGAGCCGCACATCCTCCTCTTCAGAAGACCTCTCTACCAATACATTGACACCATCCTACTGTCACTCATCTGGAAGATTCCTCCTGTGATTTTAGTATACAGTGAAGACTTTCTAGCTCTACTTAATTGTCTGCTGTGTATTATCTATATTTTCTCAGCCACAGAGCTCTAACTGTATAAAGATGTCTGTTGCTTATTGCAGCATATGGAATCCCACTGGTCCTGCGTTTGTGAAACACTGCATCTAAAGTGCCTGAATGATCAAGTAGTTGAAACAATCTATAAGACCATTGCTGTTACTGAACTATGTGTTAAAGGGAGCTGCATTAGTTCACAACACTGATTTTAAACATTCAGGAGGAAGATGAACTGTCTTGTGACTTTGTGCCAGAATCAGAAATTTGGGCTGAATGTTTGGAGGGTACAAAAAGCAACTACTTTAAATAGTAATGCTGCTTTTTTGTGATAACTAAAAATCTACATGGCTTTAGTCTCTATTTTGTTGTGTTTTTCCTTTTTTTGCTTGCACTTCTTTATTTAGTCACAAGAGGGTGCCATGGCTCCAGTTGTGGTAGAGGATGCGATGAAAAATAAAAAACCATTACACAGCCATGGTGAGCTATGGAAACTTGGCCTTTAAACAACATATGTAGGGTTTTCCTCAGTTGCATTTGTTACACATTAAATGTCTAATACTGAAGAGCTATTTAACCTCTAACTTCTGATTATTCCTAGTTCTGTTATTAAATGCCCACTCTTCAATAAATGTGTGGGACATAATCGCCTCAGCATTGGAAATACATTTTCAATCAAGGATATTTTTATATGCTCAGAAAATGACTGGCTTCCGAGGAGAAAAAGCGCAGTGGAGGTTGGTTAATAATTCAGATGGTAGAAAGTGTTCCTGCAGAAAAAGGCTGACTGGTTACTGTGGCACTCTAGTTTGATCCTGCAGGTTTAATAACCGGTTCATAAATGGGTTTATCAGCTGATATCAAAAGTGACAATCATGCTTAATCCAAACATGCCAAAATATGGGATGCATTGATGTTTTAAGACAATGTAAGTAACGGATAAAACAAACTTGATTTATTTCTGCATCAAGGAAACATATGTATTCAGTTTCAATGAGAAAAACTAACTGCAGACAGAAAGCAGTAAGGTGCAGCCTCTGTTACTCTATTATTCAACCTGTGCCATCCATGGCATTTCGGGCGCTGGGGTTTTTATTCATATTTCACTTCTGGTAATATAATCTTGCTTAATGCCAAACATAAGATGTATACTGTTGTTGAAAAGAACCCTGCTTCCCACAGTAACCTACGTTGAATAAGCTTGGGCTCTGACTCTCTGTAAGGAAAAAAAAAAAAGATTAAGGGCACTGTATAATCTCAAGTGAAAATGTCAAGACTGCAAGGTAGCTTTGAAGGACCAAACTGAAGTTTCAGAAGGCAGTAAAGGTACAAACATCTGAGACACAAAAAAAAACTACAAACAGGACTGAAGTGTCATGGATGCTGCATCCGTTACAAATACAGATCAGTGCTCCTCATATACCATCCGTTTTATTGTTCCATACAAGCACTGCTTTTCAGGATGTTCATTTTCATCAGTAAAAATAAAAATAAGCTTCATCTCCTTGTCAGTTTTGGAAGGAGTCCCAACACCATCATCACAACCAGCCCAGGTAAGCCCCCTGCAGAGCGCAGGTGTTGTGAATTCTTTGCTGCATGGTCGATCAAGCTCCTGTGTAAGAAGTAAACACTGACATCATATTCCGTCTGTTTATCATAGTTTCAGTGGCAAAGATGTGGTCCACCTGGGCTGAGGACCATGTTAAGCCAACAAAAGTGAAGCTCAGGACATCCTCTCAGAGCTCAGTGGCCGTCACAGCTTTCCTGTAGAAGGGAAAACAGAGTTGTACTGTGCACGTAAAGGAGGATGTAAACATGGAGGTTTAAGGATTGACCTTATTAATATTAATAACAAAGGTTAAACTAGCCCGGTTCTAGATCTCTGAATCGCTGCCCACAACTCAGATTTTATCAGTAATTCAAATAATAATTAAACAAAATGGTAATGGAAATCAGGAGAAAGTTGAGCTAGTTTACCATTTGGAAACTGCTTTGCAATGAGGCAGCTTGCAAAACTTTATACATGCATGTAGTACATCTTCATTCAAACAAAACACAGAGACAACTCTGAAATTGAATGTTTATCCAAATGTGTAATGTTATAGCTACAGGTGGGTGTAGAAACAGAGAGTCCTTTTTAATGTAAAAAAAAAGACACTACTGGAAAAAACCTGCTGTAAAAACTATAACTTGATTGGGGAGGGAGAGTAGAAACAGGAGAAAAAACTGATGTAACTGAACTCAAATCTACTGTATATTTATAGATCCAATAAAACAATTCAATTCAATAAGTTCAGACTTGTGCATGTTCTTGGAGGAATGCTTTAGTAATCCTTTTAAAAAAGCAACACAAGTGTTTCGTTATATGCAACACAATTAGCTGAATGTCGTTAATAGATCATATTGAACAGAAAATGAAGTTAAATGTACTGTAGTTAAATGTAATGGCTAAAGTAGTTTTAAAAAAGCAGACTGTGGGAAACACAATCATTTGCAGATTACTTAACCTGTTTATTTAATGGAATATCAATCAGCTGGCTTTAGCTTTGTGTCCCTAATGATTTGCCGTTGCCCCAGTAAATATGGACTTTGCACTTTAGTGCTCCTGAGAAAAATAAAATCCAGAGTTCAAACCAGTTGCCTAAAGCCAAACATGCAGAGCAGATTAAAACTGGTGCTCATGATCCGACCCAGGCAACCGCACAGCCACTTTTATGAAACTGGGACAAAACACACTCACATGCATGAACATAGACCTACCCAGGCCTTTTCCCATCTTTTTAGCAGTTGCTCATGCTCTGAGAGTGCACCTCTCCACTGGTTCAAATCCCTGGATGGAATGCTCTCCTCATCTGTCGAATAACAACAGCTTTTATATATATAGAAACCACGAACAGATGCCCATCGCTGGACGAATAAAAAAATGGCAGTGCTGAGAACCAATCCCAGGCACTCTATAGCCAGCCATCACAACAACTGGTCCAGATACCTCCAATAGTGAGGTGGAGGTCCACCTCAGACATGTCATTCCCTGTGCTGGCCTCCGCAACACAGTGGTAACGGGCGTCCTTGATCAGCGGCCCCTCTCTGAGCCAGCTGCTCACTAGTACCTCCCTCTGACCCAGCGGCTTGCGGTACTCCATTATGGGGGTGTCCAGACTGTGCCCATTTATAAGCCAGTGAATGTGGACATCACTTGGACCTGAGGGACAGAATCGGACTTCATGTTTGACCCCTGATGGTCGAGACACTGACACGCCACTGACACTCCACATAGACGTGCTTGTACATGAAATGGAAATACTTGCCTTCAGGAGGTCCATTTGTGGGGTTCAGTTTCTAGAGGTTGGACTGGATGTACATGCAGTTTATATGTATGCACAATGCCTGATATCAGCTGATATTCAGTGCATCTTTAACAGTTTGAGACAAAGCTGTACACATATATGTTTGCATAGAATTTATATAATATGAAGGCTAATTTGTCTCTAGGAAAAATAGCCGTATTTCCATCAATTTTTCTGCTTATATTTTCAGTATGTGCAACAGGATCCTGATCTTGTAGCCACATACAGTAGTTTGGTTCTGGGGTACATTTTGCTATTATGCTCACTAATGAGTCCAGAATACAATGCAGTCAAAAAATTTAAGAAAACAAGCCAGTGTTGAAAACATTTGACAAGATTTATTTAGCCTCCCTACCAAGAGCAACAGTCCCAGAATTTCTGTCCCCTAGATTTATGTACATCTTCAAAGGTATTTTTCCATATATACAAATATATTTACATTTGTTTACAGGCACAAAAAATTGATCCAGATAAAGTATTGAGATGTAAGACATTTGAGCATACTATAATTTGTTCTGAGGAAAGATTCTCAACCCCCTGGATAAAAAAAAAAGGATCTAAACTTTACAGGTTTCACATCAGAATGCTGTTACACAAAAATATACACCAAACTGTACCTTTCGTTTACATATAATTGAGAACTGTTTAAGAACCAGATCACTGAGAGGTTGACAGTTTAATATCAAAACCCAGCTTTGTCTTTTTAAAACATTCACTCATTATACGAGACACCTAAAAATGGAGATGAACAGGCGTCCCCCCCGAGTCAGACACCTTAAAGAAAAACGCAGGCTTGTTTTAAACAAAACCAGAAACGCACACATATACACACACACACACACATTCCCGGTTAGTTTATATTTGGGAAATGGTACCATGCAAGGTGTAGAAAGGAGAGAGAATGAGTGAAAAAATAATGGCAAAAAAGGAGGGTTAAGATTTCCAAACCGAGCAAGAGGAAGAGTTTGGATTGTGTCAGCGTCACAAGCACCACTCACCCAAGGCCAGGCAGAAGAGCAGGAAGGCCTCCTGGGCATGAACCCCCCAGGCCTGGTCCTTCAGCAGGGGAGGCAACAGTCTAACCTCTGCCTCCCGGGCCTCCACATAGTGGGGCTTGGTGGAGGAGGAGGGGGAAGAAGTGGAGGAGGAGGAAGGGAAGGCGGAGGGAGTGCTACTTCCAGAAGAGGACAGGGAAGATGAAGTGTCGACAGGAGTGGAGGCTGTGAGGGAGGGAGTGATGGAAAAAAGACAGTATTGAGGAAAATAGGAAATCTAAACAAGGGGATGACATGCAAAACAGACAGAGGGGAGACTAATAAATGAGGGCTAGGATCTAAAAACAAAATTGGCTGCAATAAATAAAATAAAAAACAAAAAGGAGGAAGATCACGACTACTTACACAATAGACAAAAATGATATTACCACAGACGTGACTCATCTTAAATAATAATTCTCTGAAAATGTTCTAAAACTTTAAAAATAACTTCAGATTGTTTCCAGGGCTGTTTTTAGAAAAAGAACAAGTGATGATGGATATCACCAAACATCGTGTCATTCTGAACATATTTATGTTATTAACAGACCACAGCGAAGATGACTAGTAGAGGTTAATACACAGAACCGTCGGAGTTGTCACCATGTAGGAATGTCGAATTCACAGGGAGCGAAAAAAGAAAATACAGAGAAACTCAACACTGTCACTTTAGACAACTCCACAGACAGTGGTTGGATTTATACCAGCATTTTTCTAATGCGCAGTTCGTCGCTTGTCCACTTGTTTTTCTCTTTTTCTGACCTTCAAACCCTACATTGCCACCACACTGGGTGAGATTAAGGCCCACATACCAGGTGCTGCAGATGGCAACACTGTACAACAAAGCCAGGCTATGATGTACTGAGCAAATCTTCCCTGAGAAATGAATATAATGTTGAAGCATTTACCCATGTCCAATAGCCTACACATTGCTTCGAAAAAAGAAAAAAAAAATTAAGCAAAAGCTTCAAGAGATTATTTCTCACCCAGGCTGTACAAGAACATAACTCCAATTTGGAAAACATCAAGGTAACTTACCAATTTGGTAAACAATGTTTCCAATTTGGAATTTAAGAAATAGCTTTTCTTGCTGGACTAAGCTGAGAGGGGGCAGCTTCCGTGGATACAGTTTTTGCTTTATCATCATTAGCCCTAAATCAGACAGCAGGATTTAAATCTCTACAGGCAAGTGGGGCGCCTGACTTTAGCATTATAATGATTAAACTTCATCTGATGCTGTACACTTAACATACTTTTACATAGGAGGAAACCACTTAGACTTATATGTTGTGGGAAGATGCAGCAAGAGCGTGACCCCCTATAAATAGTCTCTATGCTAGGAAAAACAAAAGCAGAACAGAGGCTTCTGGCTAGCAGTAAGGTTCATCTGCATCTGCAAACTGGATGGGCTGAGATTCACAGTCCACATCGAAGGGTTTCTCCTGGGAGGGGCTGTCGTCTCCAAAGCCGTGAGACGGGATCCGACCATTGCCGCACTCTGGCTCGGTCTCGTACCCAGTGTCACGGAGAGCCCGGAGGTTTTGAGTGGCTTGGCTGCCGTTTTGCGTCGGCTGCTCCGTCATGTTAATTTTGTCAGTTGCAGACGCTTCCATTAGACCTGCTTCACAGGCCCGATACTCGGGCTGATTGGCGCTCTTGTGACTGCCCAGCAGAGCAGCTCGCAGCCGCAGGCAGGGGGCTGGGAGGTACTGCATGTAGCAGTTGTACGCCAGTGCGGCCAGGAAGAGGAGGAAAAACAGGAGGAAGAGGAAGAGGAGGGCGGTGCTGTTGTTGTGCTGCAAATACTCAGCCGCTGGGTCCTGGCTGCCTGGACGAGGAGTGCTAGAGCTCGGGGGCAGATGTTGGAACTTGATTGTGCTGCTGGGGGGTGGGGTTAGTGATGAGTCAGTTTGGGGTGGGGAGGTGAACTGGACTGTGGCTGTGAAGCTGGGAGGGGCGAGGGCTGAAGTTAGTGTGGCTCTGTCTGTCTTGCTATTACCTTCAGCTGCGTGTGCGCTAGATGTCTCCTGGCTGCCGAGGGTGGTGGTCACGTGGCCTGTCTGGTGCGGGGGTCTGGGTGGGAGATCCAGAGTCAGGACGTATGCCACCAGGAGGCGGCTGAAGTTCTTCCCAGCGGCGGGGGCCCATTCCACGGACCAACACTCGTAGCGACCTTGATCCTCTGGAGCCACGCTGTAAATAAGGAGACCATTTTCGCCTATGAGGTGGAAGCGAGAGGCCTCAGTGAGAACCGAGCCATTGGATTTCCACATCACCTGGGCCAGGTTGGAGCGCACCAGGCATGGCAGCTCGGCAGAGCTCCCCGGTTTCACTTTCACACTATGGTAGTCCTTCAGAGACCGACCTGACACTACGAGGCAAAACAGAGAGAAAATAATGACTTTTGGGCAGTTTAAGTCTGGTCTAGTCAGAGATTTACAAACAAGGCTTATAACTAGGATTGGGCAATACAGACAAAAAAGGGTTGAGGATAAAACCCAGCATTTAAGTTATGTTATGATCATTAAATAATCAGAATCCAGGATGTTTATCAGTGTACGCGGTGGGATGTTTGATTATGCTGCAATTTGGAAAAAACAATTTCCACACAGTGTTGCGTCAAGAAGGAAGTAAGCAGTGATATTGTCTACTTTTGACTCTCACTGTTTAAGTTACAAAAGGTTTTCATTATGTTGTACGTGAGCATGCTGCACCTCACCTGAAGGACACTTGTCTGCGTCACCATTCAGGTTTTGGACTAGCCTCCTGAAAAAACAAACAAGCATTATTAGAAATATAAAGTCTGAGACAGTAAAGCAGGTCTGACTGGATGGATTATCAGCAAAGATGTCTCTCGATAGTGGGTTTTGCTTTCGTTATCAAGTGTAGTAATGCATGAACGGAGTACCGGTATGTAGAAAAAAATGATGATGATCGAGAGTGAATACTGTAAATCTAGCTTAATGGTGAGTTACCCATGCTGTTGGCTGGGAACATCAAAGATGTTGACACAGGCTGCAGTGTGCGGGTCCCAGGCGCAGTACGGGTCACGAGCCAGGACACAGTCATCGCAGGACAGATACCTGCCGCAAAAGGCCGTGGGTGACTGGACTACGCCCGAGTCTGAACCAGCGTACAGGGATCGTGTCTGTAGAAGCACAAAGTTGTTCACGTAAATATGGCACAGAAAGAAGTGCACTGAAGTTCAACACATATCAGAGGGAAAACAATTCACCGTTTTGGTATGCGAGTAGATTCAAAAGTCACAAAGATAAACCCTTAACCAC